AGTGATTACAGTGACTGAACAGATTGCATTCAGCTAGACTTTAAATATGATAAAGACTGTTTTAATTGTAGAGTATTTACTCAGTAGCAGCCACAGCTCCAGGAGCCACAGACTGCCCGGCCCTGTGGCCCTGTGGCCTCGGGGTTCCTGACACTGAGGTTGGTGAAACCGTTTTCATGACTGACCTACTGTCACACTAAACAGGCTTAAAGTAGGGGTCACGGACAGTGTGCTCCACTTCATGGCTCTGCACAGGACATGGAGGAAGCCTATTTTATTCTTAGTGACTGCTGAACTTAGTCCTGGACTTTGTTGAGGTCACGGCTTGGACTGGAGGTCACATGTAGCCAGGTTTGCCTCGGCTCCGTCAAACCATTAACATTTATGCATAGCTTAAATGTTTTGGCAGGCACCTAAAATAAAATGTATGGATCTCAAAATCCTTATCATCGGAGATAGATGCACTCTCTCACTGTGGTTTTCTCTGTGAGGACTTCTCTTGAGAATCAGCGATGTGAGCAGGAGTAGCACTATCTTTACACCATCACACAGAGCAGCCCTGCGTGATGTCAACAGGTGGTCATTTGTAATGGGCTGGACGCTGCTTCTGTCGACTGTTGGCAGTGTGTCACGTCTGCCACATGTCTGTGTAATCAGAGCTGCTCTCGTAGGAAAGTGGCCAGACGATCAAATACCACTGAGGTCTGCCGATGTGACAGCTGGCCTCGATCTGCCTGACGTAAGACTTCATGACTTTCCATAGCAGCGTCACAGCATTGAAGCAGCCTTCATTATCTGGTCTGCTGGTGTAAGGGAACTGTTATCTGGAGGCTCGGGTCTCAGAGGAACACAGTTGTGGTTCCTTTAAATGAGAAACCACGCTCAGCGCTCAGCTTGTTTAAAGACGTCTTTTCTATAAGTGTCTCAAAGGTACAGCAAGCACCAACGTACAGTCAGGTTTTGTATTCCTATTGTTTGCTAAGCTCTTTGATAGAGAACCTTAAACTATCTAACAGAGAGTGATTCATGGCATCATTACACTGACTGTTAATATATCAACTGCAAATTTAAGCATTTTTAATTAAAAAAAATGGGTCCAAATAGCTTTTTTTTTTTTTTAAACTAGGCTTTGCTCTGGTGTAAAAAACAAATATATTCACACACATTTATCACCTTTTTACCGCCTTAGCACTTCAATCAGCACAACTATAGCTTCAATTTTTCCATTAATTCTAACTAATATTTTTATCTGCTGTCATTTTGCTGTCAGTTGTAAACCTGTCCTTCCATGTGCTTCTATGGAGAGCATCGAGTAGGAGCCCAGAACAGAGCTCCATGAGAACAAACACAGAACGAGGAGGAGATACAAGAACCTGTGGCCAGGTGAGGGTAGTTAAAGTAGCAGAGATGAGCAAGTGTAGGCTGGGACTGATGTCATTAAATATGGCATGACTCAGCAAACATGTGGGTAAGTACCCTGAACCAGCTCTGACACTTTGTGTCCACTCATATATTTAATACTATGTTACTTTTCAAACAGGCTTCCACAGTATACTGGAGTCCCACACTCACCCAATAATAAGGACATTACCATTTTTCATAGAAGGTAAACAAACACACAAACCCCTATAATAGCGCACGAGAGTCTTGGTCGCTATGATTGTGGGTTATCAAGAGATCAAGACGTGTCCTAGATTTGACTGCAGCCGAGCGGCCAGAGGCAAGCGGCTAGAGCCTGCAGCTGAGAGGGAGAGGGGGAGAGGGGGGTGGCAGACAGCTCTGGCTCTGGGCAAAGTCTCCGTGCCACGTGCCAGTCCTTGTCTCGTGGATTAACAGTTGCCAACACCGCGGTCTCCATACGGTCCTGGTAATCACGGGCACACGGGAGGAACAGGGTCAACAAAGCCGGCAGCTGAGCCTGCGTGCTTCAGCGATGCAGAAATCTGAATGTCTCGTTGATTGAACAACGGGAGGCAAAGAGTCAGGAAATTCCTGTTTGAGGCATGTCAGTGGGACTGGATCTTAGTCCAAAAGTGAGCACCGGTGTAATCTTTACTACTGTGTCTGACGTCACGGTGTGTGTCATTGTCTTGCTTTCTTCATGAGGAATAAGTCTCTAAACCAGCGATGCCTGTCGAAGCGCAGACCCAACAACTACACCAACCCTACCCCCCTAACCCTATTATAGTTTGATTTCTGACATCATCTTTATACGTGAGAGTAAACGTTATCGAAACGCTTGTGTGGGATGAATGACGAGTCTTCGAGCAAACACCGAGACCTTGACCGAGATGTGAGCAACACACATCTTGTTTATTGGAAACTTCACAGTCCTCTCCAGATAAGACGCTGTGCTCAACAGGGTGCTGTAAGTCAGAGTTCAAAGACGTGCCAAAGTATGCAAGCGTGCACACACACTTGTGCACCTTGCAGCAAACCCACTCCCTTTATGATCCGGCGTGGATTCCACAGCAGACAGGATGTCACACTTCTAAGATAAGACTTTGTGATTAAGCAGGGCGTGTTAGACGTGTCGAAAGTGCACCGTCTATGTACTGCCTTCCAGTGCTTGTATTATCTAGGCACAGGCCTTACTGCGATATCGAGAGGGTGGCAGTGGCTCTTATTGAAAGTCAGATATGATTTTATTAGGAGAGCTGCAGAGTGGTGTACAGGCCGGGATCTGTCAGATGTGCCTCGCACGGGAATCGCACAAAGGATCGAGTCACGGAGCAGCATATGTTGAAAAGGTCTGTCCGTAGCATGTGTCTGGCAGAGCCGTGGTGGGTGTGTATCTCTGTTAGGAGTGTTTGCGGCAGAGACAGGAAGGGTGGAGTGAGAGCAGTCTTCTCAGTTTAAGTCTGTCTGAAAATCCTCAGTTTCACTTCCTGTGTCTGCAGGCCATCGCCGTTTGTCTCTATGAATAGAATCTTTTTGTCAGACTTTTGTGTGTAAACCATTTTTACACATATATGGAGAAGAAAATCCTGAAAAGAGCATGACCACGAGGTTACCACCGAATCCCCCGCACCACGAGCGCTGTGCAAAGACATTCAGTTCTTTAAAAACGTACATAAGTCTTGCAAAGACAAACGGGGAAGTGAAACTATTAACAAGACTGACACTGCTACACTCTCACTGCACTGACCTTTAAACGGTTAAATAACATATATACTTGTGAAGCTGGGCACAATCTGAGATGGAAAAGGCACGCTAGAGCAAGATCCCAGTGTTGATGAAAGCTGTGCTTTCTTATTGTGTTGTACTCACAAACACAGAATCAGTCTGACTACAGAAACATGTTCAGTTTGTTTTAATCATTCCCTGCATGCTCCGATACACCGACAAGACGAGCAACACTAGCCGATCCTGTCTGCTGACGTCTGCTGAAAACCATGACTGAACACGGCGGACGCACACGCTCTTTCTTGACAGCCCACTGTCACCACCACATTGTTTCCTTTGCTGCCACTCCCTCCTCTTGCTCGTCTTCCCCTGAACCTCCACCCACCTACCCAGCTCTTTTCGTCTATCTGTCTGAGAGCGTTTCCTGTGTCATAGATTACAGGATGTCCTCTACAAACAAGTTAGATTCCAGCTGCAGAGAAAAGCGAGCAAAACAGAGCCTCGCAGAAACATACTTGCAGCACAGCCTCACAGAACCTGACAGCTGGCTTCAACTAAACGGTTACATTAAAAAGAAAACGTCACTGAGTGGTTTTTTTTGACTCATACACAAACATTAGTGCAGGCATTAAACTGTGCTGAATGTTGTGCGTTTCCTTGGAAAATCAATTTCCTTTTGTGATTTCTGTTTTGACTGTGTATCAGGTGGTCAGACCGCAGATGAATCAGAGGCAAACAGCTTGCACGAGTAAGGAACCAAAACAGGTCACCTAACCCAAAATCCACCACATGCCAGGCTGACATGAAAGGGGCAAATAACTCTGCTTCTCCTTCGCTCAGGAGCCGCACCCTGCCTGTGACCTGACTTTGGCCTCGCTGCATGTCTTGCTAAGGGGCCCGCTGCAGTGGAAAGGGAGGGGCTCTTCCTGAAGACAAAGCGGGAGCTTAGCTGCCTTTGTACATGAGAAGCCACAAAACCCAACATATGCTGGGGAAACAAACAGGTGTGAGACAACATGCTCCATTTTTGATGCAAATAAAAA